CTTATCATTTCTCTAGGTGAATACTTTGTTTTGTATTATGTGAAATTTATATAATAGTTTGAATTGTACTTTATAATATGTATTGTATTATTATTATTATGACTTTTTCCACATCCTATTGTCATCTGACTGTCTTATGGATCCATGGAATGTAAATAAATTATTATTATTATTACACTCACAGTTGTTAAAATGGTGTCTCAAGTAGAATAAACTAAATACATGTCATGGTTTCACAATTCTAGGTCTGTGTTGCCAAACAATTAAACATACCACACTTGACAGTGCACAAAATGCTGCAGAAACTTTTGACATTTAAAAGTTATAAGTACCAATCATTGCAACATGCAACTGCCCAAGACAAAAAAGTTTACTACACATTTCGCTCCAACTTGACATGAAGATGACAAACTTTTAGTCAAAAGTGTCTTCAGTACTGAACCTACATTCCATTTATCAGGAAATGTTAATCAACATAACCTAAGAATTTGGGGCAAAACAAACCTTGTGACATTACTGAACATATATGAGAGAAAGTTCAAAGTAGAATAAGTTTTGTGCCTTGTCCAAATAAAATTCATTCAGGCCTTTTCTCTAAGTCAATTGTACTGTGACGAACATCATGAAGCTCGATATGATGGAGGAATTCCTCACGTATATTTTCAAAGAAGTAGTCCAAATGACATGCTGTTCCAACATTTCCACAAGAAAGTGACACACTTCTAAAACTGCAAGTGTTGAGAGAAATGGATTGGCAGGAGCAAGCCTGTCATTCAGCCACCTCCATCATCTGACCTTATTCCGTTGTTGTTGTTTTTTGGGGGGGAGGGGGGAGTTACACCATCGCTGAAGTTGCTGGGCAGATATGAGATGCAGTAGCTACACTAACCTACAGCCACAGTTGATTTGCTAGAGAACATGTGGGCTGCCAGGGCACTCACAGCGTCAGCATTAAACAAATGTAAAATGTAAGTCCCTGAAACGTGATCATATAACCTTCTCGAATGCGTTTATTTTTCATTAATCTGCATTTTGGTTCATGAGCAATGTTACAGTAAAATGTTATACATTTCATATGCATACCTGCACTTTATAACATCAAGGGAGGCCAAGATAAAATTATACTATATAATTATAATTATTCCCAAGTAAAATTCCAAAATGATGTTTCTGATCACACAATAAAACATATGTTAAATTGTAATTGTAGAGATAATATCTAAAGATTATTATTAAAATTATAACTAACGTGTATTAAGACTTACAGCATCCACAGCATTTTGAATAACGGTGGAAAATCTGCTCAACATTTCGCACCTACTCTCGTTCAGAAGTGACCATTCGTAATTGATAAGTGACACAGCGGAATCTGGAATAAACAGAAATTAATTGTTTCTCTGGCCATTTTAACTTCTGAAAATTATAAAAACCAAACAGCAGACGACACGTTCAATGTCAACTGACAATCCCTAACACTGTGCGCAGATAACCCACTGATAACCTACTGAAGGTTTGACTACAACCACTACAACGTAGAATAGCAATATGATAAATTTAATCATCTTTGAAATTATCAGATTCAAAGATTACATAGTTTCTTGAGAAAACAGGGGAATTTGAATTAGAGGAAAATGATGACCACCAGAACGCTCATATGACCCTACAGTGGTGAGG